ATGGATTTAAGAAAAAAATCAATCTTTAAAAAACAGAAATAACTAGGTTTTCATGCTTCAAATATGTATGATAGGCACATTTACAGTACAGGAAAATAAAATCATTAAATCTATCAGAACAACAAAGCATTCCAGTTCAGTGAGGCAGATTATGTTCGTCTTTATAATGTGGTATATTGAGCTTATGGGCTCTCCGTAGTTTTCCTATGTTCTATATATGATATGTGCAGGGCTAAATGGATATGCCAGAACACGAGCCACAGTTGGCAGGTTGTAATAATGTTCATCGAGTACTTTAGTAAATGTGGTTAAATGCGTGAAAAGTGTCTCATCAATACACCACAATAACTTTGAAAATATCTTAAAGAAAAGTAACTAGTTGAAATGATAAAGGGATATTTTTTGATAGGTGTTATGAGACAAACTTTAACAAATAAGGTAGGAACAGAACCACAATTAAACGCAAAAACACAAAAACTGAGGATAATTGGTGAGATAAAACAAGCAAAATAAAAATTTTGTGGAGATTATGCTGCTAGTACCAGAATTGTTGAAGAAGAGTGCTGGCAATAATGAACCTTAGTGCAGGATTTGACACTGTTGATCTCTCTATTAAAAAAAAAAATAAATGGGTTGGCCTCTCTAATACAGCAATCAACTTCTTTAAATCCTTTTTGAAGTATAGGGACTTTTGTCAGTAGGTACCTTTACATACAGTAGGAGACCACAAAAATCACATGTGGTGTTCCCCAAGGGTCCATCTTAGGGGCCCCTCCAATTCAATATCTACAGTACATTCTCCCACTAACAGATCTTAAAAAATAACATCATGTTAACATAACTATGCAGACGACACACAGCTGTGACCAGTAGAATATGAATCCATCAAGTGATTGGCAAATTCAAAGGGGAAGTTAGCTTTCGGATTAGCCAAAAGTTTTTTTACTGAAAAAGCAAAAGTGAAGCAATAGTCTTTGCACCAAAAGAAGTGTTTGAAAGTTAGCGCACGCCTTCCTTTAATACAGCTAGAAAAATTTATCAGGGTAGTGATGGACTCAGACCCAAAGCCGTAGAGACACAAAAAGACAATAAAAAAGTTGGCCTTTTGAACATCTGCATACCCAGAACCTGTACCAAACATGGGGAAGCAGCTTTTGGTTCTTTTACTCTAGAAATCTGGAAAAAAAAACTGCTAAAACTCTTAGTTGCTCTACTATGCTATCTAATAATATTAACCTTTGTAGCTCAGCTTTCTATTATTGTATTATTAATCATTATCATTATTTCAATTATTCATGTGTTATCATTTTAGTAACTCATGTTTATGAATTGTTTAATTACCTTGTACCACTGTAATGTACATTTGTCTTTGTTTTATTATTATGATTCTTAGGTTAATCTACTTCACTTTGAATTGTCTTATTTCTAAAATATGCAATATAAATCAAATAAACAGGGATTTTCCAAGGTGTTCTAACATCCTATCTAGGAAATTCAATTATTTAAGAGGGTAAAATAATTACATAAAGCAAGACAGCTGATAAACAGTGTAATGGGTTGTTAATATGATCTATTAACAAACTTTTGGCTGTAAAATGGGTATACAATTATTAGGAGTTGTAAAAAATATAAGGAAGTATTTATTTAAATAGCAAAAAGATGACATGGTTAATTAAGCGGTTTTAGCTAAAGGGAAAAAAAGCGAGGGAAGAGGGACAGGAGTTTAAAAGAAACCGGCAGAAATATTTTAACAGGGAAGGCTAAAATTATACAAGAAAAACCAAAGCGGGTTTCCAATGAGGAGTAAAGAGAAAGATAAAAGAAAGAAGGGAAAATGGGGTGCAAGTTCTGATTTTACAGAGTGAGTCTTACCTTTTTAAACCAATAGCAAAGTGACAGACCGAGATGGAACCAAAGCTTTTCTACCTTGCTTCACTTTTAAATGTTTGGAAAGAATTAAGACACGCCGTCTGTTGCTCAAATTAGACTACCGGTTTTGAAATAAAGCCATTTATTTATCTGTAATATCCTGACATTTCATGCCAGCAAGCACGTAGATCTCCCTGACAGCTGATCTGTACTTTGTAGAATGTTTTTATTAATGTAACGATTCAGGTGTTTATTCTCTCCATTTCGACTGTATCTTTGCTCCGTAATGACAGAAATCAGTGGTGTTTAGGTTTGCATTTTTAAAGTTAGATTGAAATATATTTTGAACATGGTAAAAAAAAAAAGAAAAAAAAGAGTTTTTGCATTGATCTTGCAAAATGTTTGCCCCCCTTCCACATATTTACTGTCTAATCTAAATGTGCTTTATGGCAGTTGTTGATGAAACCATCAAACACTTTTTTGTATTAAATGTGGTTATCTTTTTCTCAAGCATTACTTTATTTGATAATCGAAAGAAATTAAATATAGTTGTCTTAATAAGCCATATTATCTTTGAAACATTACTTATATAAGGGATTTTTTAAGACACATCAGATAAGAACAAAATGGATGTATGTGTCACATATAGCCCTTAGTGGGGACGACGTCCAAAGGAAGTAAGATAAAGAGGTATTATTAATAGGCCAACAGTTTTGCGTCATGTCTTGACAAACCCCTCTTCTGAAAATGGAGAGGTGGGGATGAGCCGGGTGCACACAGGGGTAGTTTGGACAAGTGTGTATATGTTTAGAGGCAGCTATAAAAGTCTTATTGTGTTCTCCATTACTCCACTTGTTCACCTTACCCTTCATCTTCAGACCTCCTGTCTTCTCCTGTCTCCATCCATCACCTTTCCTCTTTCTTTCCTTTTTTTTCTTTGCAGCATCCATCTGTTCATTCAGGTAAGACTCATCATATATTAAATGCAGCAGCACAGAAGGTAAAAAAAACAAACAAAAATCTGAGGCTGATGAAATATAGGTTTAGTCAACAAAACGTGAAATGATAAAGATTAACTGGATGACAATTCACGATAAAGGCTGTGCCACAATCCTGTTGTATGCATTGCTGATGTATAGCAAAATTATAGGACAGTGTCCTTAAATTTTAGTTTAACAGTAAATGCAATCCTAAATGAGAGCATCAAAAATAGATGCAGGAAACCCTAAAATCACCACTTAGAACTGCAAATGTTGATGGAAGCTGACTAATTTGATCTCAATACTTCAGTTCATTAAAATGTTTCAGAACTGTCGCTGAGACAAGTATTGCGTCACTACGCTATACAGACTGGGGAAAATCTGCACAGGGATGGGCATAAATATTGTTTGTTGCAAGAAAAGTTGCAGACACATTCGTGCTGGGTAAAAAGTTCAACTTAGGGGAAAAAATTAAGAAGCATTCACACTTTGGCTTTTAGTCACAGCAATAATCTAAAGCTGTTGCATACCAAATGGAAAGCTGAAAAGAAAAAGAAACAGAGCCTTTTCTTCAGTAGCTCCCAAAGCTCGAGAGCCATCGCCCCTAAGACCAGAGAAGGTTAAACTGTAGCGTCTCTACAGTAAAAGCCATTGAAAACCATTAAGATCTCATTATAAATCTGCCTTTTTGTTCATCTGTGCTGCTTATAAAAATCTTTATAAATCGCATTTATTAATTTACATGTAGCTATCTGCTGTTTAAGACAAAGACTGTTGCTTTGCTCTGAGCTGTTTTCTATTTCTTGCCTAATATTGGATTTCAGCAGCTTGGAGGTTCAGGGCCTTCACTGCTAAATGTTTTAGATGTCTGAAAGAACCAAACACCTGGCAGGCCAGTGTTGGACCCTTTAACTATGAAGTAATGATTCGACTATGCATTCATGATGTGGATTGAAATTCCCTTTAAGGTACCAGGTCAAACGGATTTTCCTCATCAGCATAGTGAAAAAGTCTACATTTTCCCAACTTTGAGATAATCACCACAGAGTTTGCATTTTGTTTAGATAAGACGATGGTGAAGACTGCTTTTTGGAATCTTTGTATGATTACAATTTCAATTACTATTTTTAAAGGTTCACTATTCTTTTATAAAGGGGATAACATTGTTAAATGGAATACATTTTTAACTCAATGTTTGGTTTTAAGTATTAATTCACATGCTCGGCTGAATAATACAGATAGATTCTGGTTAGTTTCTCCTTTTTGTCACTCGCTGACTATAATACCTTTCCTACAGGTTGAGGATTTTTCAGCATGTTTATCTTTACACACAGTAGCATTACATAAAGATCCAGAACAACGTGGCAGACTGGTGGTGTTGTTAAAAGTTGACTCCAGGTAGAATTAGTTGAAATTTTCTATCTGAAACTTCATGACCCTCTATGACTTATACAGAAAACATTATCAAATAAATCATAACCATATTAGATCTCTAGATAAATCCAAATGCACAAATAGCCTCCCGCTAATTGGCTTTTGGTGCCAAAAGTCAGAAACATGATAGGTGTCAAGGAAGTTGAGAACAAGTAAACAGGGCAGAGAGAAAGAGGATGGCTGTACATTCCTGTGCTTATTCTGTCACGCTGTCATTCGGTCAGGGAGGGGAGATGGTTTGATGAACTCAAGACAGTGCAGGCTGCAAAGGGACAGTTGACATGTACCAAGCAGAGATTGTTGTGTGTTGGGCCCAAATATCTTCTCCAAGGCCACAGAGTGAAGGAGCATGTGCACAGAAATTCCATCTGAAAACACGAGGAGTCTGTTCGCTGAAGAAAAAAAAAGACTACACCCTGTTGAGTTTTGTTTTCTTTTTTACTTTTCCTTTTAAGTTATCAAGAAAAAAATAACTTTCTCTACTGACATCTAGTGACACTTGGAGGTTACTGCAGCAGATTTGTTGATAATCTCTTTTTTCTTTACATTTTTAAGCAAAAAATGACTCAGTAAAAGCATTCTATGCAACATGTCTCCCTTAACTTCATAACACAGTATTTTTATTATCTTTTCTTTAGCACATTAAGTAAAACCTACAAAGTTTTTCCAAAGCAGCCTAAATTAACCATGTAATTTCTCCTCTTATATTTTCTCCAGCTGGCAGAATGGTAATGACCGATCTCTTAAAGCCAGAGGAGATCAAGAAAGCTCTTGATGCCTTTGCAGGTTTGTAACTATTTTATCCTCCCCAGATATACAATAGTATGTGTTAAACAGATACTATGAAACAACTATAATCTGGCAGAATCAGACATATTTCAATGCAAAGGAAATGGGAACATCTACTTTATTCAGCTTATTCTTCAAATTTTCTAGCGGAAACCTTTGACCCTAAGAAGTTCTTTGAGATGGTGGGAATGAAGGCCATGTCAGCTGAAAATGTCAAGAAGGTCTTCCAGGTTCTGGACGTGGATGGAAGCGGATTCATAGAGGAAGAGGAACTCAAGTAAGATCCAAACACAGAAAAAGAAGATTTAAACTAGGTCACATATATAGACATGCTTTTCAGGGTTGTACACTTGTTAATCTTTGTTTGTAATAACTTTTTTTTTTTTTTTTTTTTGTCAGGTTTGTACTGAAGGGATTCTCAAACGAAGGCAGGGATCTGACGGATGCCGAGACAAAAGCATTCCTCACAGCTGCAGACAAAGATGGCGATGGCAAAATTGGCATTGATGGTGAGAGGAAAGAGACACGATGTAAACACAGCAGGTTTTATCCTTGGAAATGAAGAGGGATGACGAGGGATGGCATTTCAGACCCATGCTGGGTTCAAATCAAGGATTTCACATTCGATTTGCATGACAGTCTTAAATTCTCTAACACTGTAACCAGTTATAAGAAAAAAAAATCATTTTACCATTTGATTACAAAAAAGTGTAGAAGCAAAGGATTTTTTAGACCAAAAAGTTTTTTTTCTACAGATAAAAATTGACATTAGATCATATTTTTTTCTTTAATTTGATAAGATTAAGAAAATATACAGCAGCTCCTCAGATAACATTAGAATTTTAAACCATGAAAATGATTCCCATTGTTATCATGTATGTTGGAACTACTAAAAAGCTTAAACCTTGTGAGGCTTTTTAATGCACATTGGTCATTGCGTTAAGCAAGAGCTTCTAAATGGTCAACAATTAGTGGAATTGGTCAGAGAAAGTTCAAACTCCACTGCTATGTAAGCTGCTTCAAGCATTAGGCATGCTGAGGTGAGTGAGGCTTCAGCAGAGCATCTACTTTTAATAGTGCAGTATGAGATGTTATTACAGATCATTAGTAAAGCATTTACTGTATTCATTATTTAATTGAACAGCACTGACACCTATGTGTAATTCATACAACATTCCTACATAACACTGCCCGTATTTTCCTTTCTTGTTTTAACATTTTTTTTAGCAGCCTGTCTTAGCTAATAGAGATAATACTGTGTCAAATGAAAAGCTGGTGCTTGAGTCTCGTCTAATTAATGAAATGTTTCTTTGCACAACAGTTAACCACAAATCTGTATGAAAGGAGTATAAAAAATATAGCTAAAAATGATTTACCAAAAAGATTTAAAAGACCAAAATCAGTCTATTGATTCTTTCAATAAGTTTTATCCTGAAACCTTCTTGGTTTTTCTAAAATAATTATAGGTATACAGTTTGACCTGAGTTTGGTTTGTAAAAATCAATTTGTAACCTTGGGTTTCTCTTCATTTTAAAAAGTTCTATGAAATTTTGAAGTAGAATCTATTTTTCTATCTTTAAAAAGCAAAAAAGAAAAATATTAAAAAAAACAACAAAGCAGCTCAGTGATTTATAATTACAATTTGCCAGTGTTATATTCCTACTGGTATGTTGGTATGTTTGAGCCATTTAATGATGCAACATAATGATAAACTAAATACTTGGAGTGAGGAAGTACATTTTTTGGGAACTAAACAAATTTTTATGAATCTTTTGTTAATGATCTGCAGCGTGTTACGCAGGGGCGTCTCTAGGTTTAAGAGACAAGGGTGGCTCAGCCCCCAGAAGATAATGCGCGCGCCGAATTTTTTCAGTGCACCTGCTAAGGCGTTGTCTAAGACAAGCGTGTAACTTTGTGTTGAAAGTTGGTGGGGATGGCTCATAAGGAAAGGGAGCTACCTGCGCGAAGCCTTTTTTTTTTTGTTGGAAAGGATAAAGCCAAAAAAATGCGAATAACATTTATCAATTTAATGCTTATAGTTGAAAACATAACTGTTACAATATTCACTTATATATTTTGTGCAAAAAATATCACATAAATCTAAACAGACAGTACAAATCAAAGAAATCAAATAAATATATCAATTTTGTAGAACATTTATTGATGGTCAATTTTGGGTCACTTTTTAAAATTAATTTACTTTTAAACCAGGACTCGGACAAGATCTTATGGGACCTTAAGCAGAATATGATTAAGCAACTCCATCTTTCTGTCAAGAACATCCACCAGCAGGGTATCCAGGGGGGAATTTACCATTAGGCAATACTAGGCAGTTGCCCACCAAGTTCTGGGGGCCCCATAAAACTCTGTTTCCATGTATGGTTAATATAACTAATCCTTATTTGTGCTCATTAATTATGTTTTTGATAAAAATCCTTTGGCTAAAATGCCATCAGAACGCTGATAAATAGAGAGGAAAAAGGGACAAGAAGAGAGGGACAAAACCTAGAACAAATAATGGATGTCTATTCTATTAACATTTCTCTATCTGTAGAATGGGTCTGTTTTATGGGTTTACTTCTCAGGGGGCCCCCTGCCTGTCTTTGCCTAGGGCCCCAAATTTCCTAAATCCGCCCCTGAGGGTATCAATACTGATTTGATAGAATCTGGGAGAGCGGACTATGTTCAACCATCCATTTTCTTTAACCTTATCCCTCAGTGGGATCAGGAGGTGCTGGTGCATATCTCCAGCCACGTTCTGGGTGAGAGGTGGGATCACCCTGGACAGGTCACCAGTCTGTCGCAGTATGTTCAACCAGCTTAAAAGTAATCGGTAATCAGATTTATTATTTGCACTTTTACTAAGTGAACTTTCTAACTCCCTTAAATCTGAAATTCCAATGCCAAAATTGTTTTAATCTTTTATCTTTGGACCCCCTGCAGAGTGACGTCACACCTGCAAGATCCTATCCTTACCTTCCTGCTAGATTGCAAAAAGCAGCTTGCTCATGAGTTGTCAACATAACACGCTAAATCTTAAATGTACGTGTACATATAAAAGAAAAAGGGGCGCAGTGCTTGCTACTGAATGGCAACACTATCAAAGTCAGGAAAAAGTTTTAAGTAAAGCCGGGATTAAAACAGTAGCTACAAGAAGCTTCAAATAAAAGGTGTTCTTTATGTTCAACCTAAACACCAACTTTGATAGACCATCAGTAGAGCAGGTGTTTAAATTAATCAATCACTGCTGCGAAAGCTTATAGCAGTGAAAGCTAATATACCACAGCCATCACTTAATAAACGCAAAATAAACAACCCTCTAAAAACGGAAAACTGTAATGGACTGAAAGTCCTGTTTTTTATGTGGGAAATTATTTGCGTGTGTTTTAGTATAATTCTGATATATTGGCGCTGCTGTCTGTTTAGTGTAGTGTAGCTTAGAGACCTGCATGGGTCGAGTTTTACCAACCCGCACCCGCCCGAACCCGTTAGGATGACTACCGAACCCGACCCGTCACCCGCGGATATCTTCAATTCAAATGTTATGGGGAGAGGTTGGAGGGGGGTGATGGGGAGAAAGCGAGAGGCAACAGATTCTTTTTTCTGAGTTTTTGTCGGGGTTTGTGGACGGTGAGCAGAGAGAACTTTTTTATTTTCTTTCTGAGGAGCGGCATGAATGGGGTTTTAATCAGATATACACAGCACCGAAAGCAAAATACGTGTACAAAATATTGGTGGGGACATGTCCACACCAGTCCTTAAGGAAGTTACGCCTATGATTGTTCAGATTAACTTGTCTTCTTTATGGCTTTTATTTGGTGCTTTACTGCATTTGTTTTGGGAAAATATGAGGAAAAAATAAATACAGAAAAAAAATATATATTTTTTTAAAATCGCAAAATAATTATAGGGTGGCTAATGCCAAAGAAAGGGTGGCTGAAGCCACCCTTAAATAGGTCTAACGACGCTTATGTTACGTTGGGAATAATGTAAATCTTGAGCCAAATCAGCAGACTAAGCTGAAACAGTTTTTCTTTTTCTTTGTGTTTTCAGAGTTTGAGACCTTGGTTCATGAGTAGGGGGAGAGCTGAGACCCCCCTTCATCCTCCGTCTCTTCGTTCCCGCATTTGTAAACGCCCACCTTCCTACTCTTCCCACCTCCCTCTGGACCCCACTTTTTGGAGTCGGACCAGGCCTGTTCTCTTCCAAACAACAGTAACAGGCCCACTGGGAGTCACAATGAAGAGAATCATACCGGCAGTGCATCAGTTTCATTAATCCATTTTTATATATTTATTTAACTCAACATGCTGTACAGATTTCAGAATCATCCCTGATGACAAATGAGGATAAACTGTGGTATAAAAACAGATGGTAATAGTGCTGTGGGTGCTGTAGATGTTCAAGACTCCCATAATCTCATTTTCTTTGCTCTGTCTTACAGAAGGTTGTGCATTATGTTTTCACTGATTTTATTTCTGGATGTTCATGCATCAGTTCACTTTCTTCCCACCGCTCCTCCTCCTCCACCCTACCTGACCTTCCTCCTCTCACCTCTGTCCTTTCCTCCGCCTCCTCACTTCCAAACTCTGATCAGATAATGTGGTTAAAAAAAAAAAACATTCACATATAAGGAGAGCTGTAAAGAGAGAAGACACCAATAAGAAATGATAATAAAAACCATTTGAGATACCGTGTTTTTATTTGCTGGTGTCTACTGTGATTAAAAGGTTTCTCTCAAGCAACTTGCAACTAAAGACTTAAAAAGGTAGAAGGGCAGAGAAATATATTTATTTCCCATTGCTTACATATAATTTGACAGTTTCAGGTTTCATGAAGGAATAAAAAAAATTATGAAAACGGCAAGCAAAATGTTTTTTAATACTCTGAGACCACAGAAGGGCTAAATGCTCCTTTTATATTTGTAAAATAGAAGTCAAACACAAAACAATATAACATCTTAGTTACTGTAGAGAGACTTGGTAAAACAGCTACTCCGGTTTGTAGTTTAAATAATTTAGATAACATATCACTTCACTTTTCCTACACTATGAAAATTGACCAAAACTTTTCTAAGTCCGTCAGGTTAAGGGCCTTCACATTTCAAAGATATCATAATAAATGTACATGCTCCCTTCATGACCTGATGCCAGAGGCTGAATGACCCCTGGCCCCTATGAGTGATGTGGACAGTGGATCCGAGGAGCAGATCTGTCGTTGGTCGTCGTTGGGCGAAGCTTCACGGTGGCAAATGGGTTTGTGCCCCTGAAATGAGAGTATGATGGAAAATGTTACACAACACCGTGTACGCTTAACCGGTGCCCAACTAGGTATTCAAACACGTTCACATGATCCAGGTAAGGAATTCTACCCCACAGCGACCCGAGACTAAGTGAGGTAAACTCTGACGGAGGGGAGAGAGGAGCCTGCACAGTTCATCCCACTAAAACTCAGTCTGAACAGATTTGGAAATGATCTGTCAGGATGTTGGCTCATCATTGCTAAAATGAGGATTCTGAATTTCACAAACTAAAAGTGTTTTCTTACAATTCTGAATGTATTCATTACTTGACATATATGCATCAAATTCCTTTATCGAATTGCACTGCACTGTATTTTTTCTAAGCACAGTGTCTAAAACCCAGAGTACAATGCATTCATTCAGGGATCAATAAACATAAGAAGCTTTATTAGAAGCTCAATTTGCATCTTTCTAAGAGCCATGTTGGTGACCTAACAAACATCTAGAACCTGCTCTTGGCAGGTGAGATAAAAAAAAAAAGCTAACAATATTCATTTTTATACTCCTTGTATTTCCAACCTAATATAACTGAGACACATGAATATAACTCTGGATTGTGTATGCTGCCTCAGGGCTCCCTCATACAGCTTAAGCTGATAGCTGGAGGCAGAAATTGGGGAAATATCGCTTTTTATTTGCTAATTTCCACTATAAGTTATTACAACCCTGATTTTGTTAAGTAATGCTACTTAGTAATAAATTAGTGTGACAGTATTGCTATAATATTTATATTTTCACCAGTACTAGATGGCCAATCCAGTGCGAGGGATCAAAGCCACCTCTTGTCCCCCTACAGTATATTAATTTCAGTTAGAACTGAAGAAGCCTCTTAGATGAGAGGAGCAAGGCCTTCTAAAAAACTGCTTAGACTGAACTTTTTCAAGCTAGATGAGAAAAAATAAACTGTTAACTGTATACTTAAGAACAAATACCCAGTGAGTTTAACAACCAGTAATACAATGTCAAACAGGGCCTAAACAAGAGATCTTTTCTGACACTATGTAAGCACCCTTCATAACATAAACATCAGGAGAGTACCAGTGCCCCGATGTCTATGTTAGAAAAAAAAAAAAGTTGCCTCTATATTAGGAAAAAAAAAAAAAGTCACTCAGGACTGTTGGAACAACATTAAAGCTTCTGATGAAACCACACAGGAGACGTTTCCCTTACTCAGACATACATGGTGTGAAAGACAACCCTTACCAAACCCCATGCGAGCCCTACAAGATGTTTTGATATTGCTTTCACAGGTAAGTTTGAGAACACATTCACATTTATCACCCTTTCCACTACAGAATTTACCTGGGAAACAAAGGGTTATCGGGCTGCCCATGTGGAGACAATGCCTAGAAAAAGATAGCAGGATTAGATTGGCATCACTCATTTATACACAGCAGATGATCAGATGACAAAGAAAGTACCTGAGCATCAGATGCTATATCACCCTGCCTGTCAGTAAGAGAGGAGGCTGGTTGTAAATCTGCAGAGCCCCTTCTGAGGTTCTGATTTGATGGGAGAGGAAGAGGTTTTGTCTCTATCGATGGTTCTGTTCTCCTGTCCGGCACTGGAGACACTGGTCGGAAATCTACAGATGCCCTACGGTTGGGTGTGGCTGGGGGTGGGACGTCTCCATAGCCCTTGCCCTCTGATTGTTCAGTTTCCAGAAGATTGTTCATGCTGTGACTTCTAAGAGAACCACTACTGCATTTAAAGAACCACATAAATAGAAAAGAGCAATCTGTTAACAGCTATAATTCACTTTTTTATAAGACATAAGTTATATGAGAGAATAAGGTTGAATAACAATTTTCTCTCGGTAAAGTTTTGGAAGAATTTCTGAGGGACAAAATTTCCCACCTGGTTGATAAAGTGTTGGAGATATCTTCAACAGGAGCCACATATGCAGCAGGAAACCAGCCCTGACTGATAAGACATAAAACAAAACAAATGCTACATTTACAGTGCTTCACACAGTTAGCATATCCATTAAACGTTTAGACACATTTTGTTGTCCTACAACAGAAAGTTCAATACTTTCTCTGAAACTTTCTTTCAACAATACTATGTGAAAATTGGTTAAACGTAAACAGCTACATTCTTTACGTGCCTTAGCCTCGTGAAAAACAGATTCATTATATAAAACACATAAAAAACATGACAAACAGCGATGAATGATTGTTTTTTTGTTTGGACACAGAAGAATGAAGAAGTCACTGACCGCATGCTGCTGTCAGTGCGTCCATAAAGCCAGCCGTTGCGTGGCTCCTGGACCAGCACAGTGACTATCTCTCCTCTGTTAAAAGGTAAAAGCTTTGGGTTGGATGAGGAGGGGTGCGACACCAGGGCCCTCATGGACCTTCCTCCTCCCAAACCCAAAGATTCCCCCACTGAACTGGAGCGGGAGCGACTGGGAAGGGGAGATGGTGCTAAAGAAAGTGAACAGAAATTAGAGTAATTTTTTTCTTATTACAAGGAAAATTGGAAGTTTATAAAAACATTTCTTGATCTTTTTGTGTCTGATTTGTCATTTCTTAATAATTCACATCCATAGTAAACCATTTTTCAGCGCATTACCTCTAGAGGGCACTCTTCCCAGTGCCAGCTGCCCCCGCCTGGCCCAGGACATGTCCTCCTCTTTGGCAACCGTCTGCAGCAGAGAGCTCACTGAACCTCGCAGCTTTGCGCATTAAACCAACAGATTAAAGATATTTTAAACTCTATGTGCTCACATGGATTTTATAAGGCAAAAAAAATAAATCAGATAGTTCTTTATGGGGCATTTATGCAGTTAAATGAGCTCATGTAGTTACAGAATTTAGTTAGGATATATAAAAAAACAAGGGGGAAAAACACTTTAGTTCTTTACTTAAGCCATCTCTCTTCGGGGCTCACACCTTACATCCATGGATATTGATGTTTAGATGCACTTATACCCCTTTTATATAAATGAATGTGATTCATGGTATTAGATAAAGTAGCATTTTGAGATTGTATTCACTTCAATATTGCAACAATAAACCACTTGCAAAATGATTACACAAATCAGTCCATATCACTTCATCTGTAAGAGGACCAGCTGCAAGAGCAGCATATTGGATGTATTACACAATCTGAGACCATCCATCCATCCATCCATCCATCCATCCATCCATCCATCCATCCATCCATCCATCCATCCATCCATCCATCCATCCATCCATCCATCCATCCATCCATCCATCCATCCATCCGACTCTTAAAACGAATAGAGGTTTAACTACCTGTGCCTCTTGATCTACATGCGTCGGGGTCCGTGATTTGGACCCCTTGTTCTCGTTCACTTTCTCTTTCCATCCATCTGCCTTCTGCTGGAGGGATGCACCGGTCTGAAAGTAGACGGGGGAATTGAGCACCTCATTAAATCACAAACATAATCAAGGTGAAACGAGTTTAACGTCTCTGCTCCAGTAAATTAGAGATATGCCCACTGAGTGTTGAGTTTCATCAGAGAAGCAAGCAATTGAAGTGATATTACAAGGCTAGAATAGGAATGTTAAACAAATCAAAGTGTTGCCTGAATTAAAAAGATGCAGGGTGAAATGATGAGAATGCAGCAAACACATACAAAAATTTGATTCTGTTCAAAACCCTTAAAAAGCTTAAATCTCTGTTTTTATTGCTGTAATTAACATTTTTCTGTCATTAAGCAAAAGAGCAAATGAAAACAGTGGTTGTAGCTTAATGTACCATGACACATTTTTTATACGCATGAACACAGTTAATTACCAAGACTGAGAGCTACAGAGGGCCTTTATCTTCACATTACACTGAGAAGAAATGACTGCTGATGTATTTCACACAATACAATTATTATGCTATTTATTAATCAGATTTATTAGGCCTGCTCAGAAGGTTTCAGATTAGTTGTGTTTTAGTTTTCTACCACATCAGCTTCAAAGTTCAAGAACTTCATTTTGTTATGTTTTATGCAAAGGTAACAAATGAAACCCAGCTTCTTCAGCAAGATTTTTTTTTGCTGTAAGTTCAGAGTTCTGAAGAACAAGTGACGAACTGACGATGACATTCTGAGAAAGAAAAACCCAGCAAGGCTGATGGTAACCTTTTCAGTCAACAACACACCATTGTTGTTTTTTCCCCTACTGCCAGCAATAGAGGTACGGCAATTTTACCTTCTGAGAGACTAGATTGGCCAACTGTCTGGTTTTGGATCAAAGTAATGAAACATCCCCTGATTTTGTTATATGTTGCTGATGGGCCAAAGATTGGGCCCTCGGATTCCAAACAGTTTCAGATTTAAGCTATGTGGTTTGAACCAAAAGTCAAAACTTAAAGAGACATTTTTTTCATAAAGTTATACATTTGATTACATTATGGTACCCTGTATAATAATTATCAGTTACCATTATAACTTTTCTTAAATGGGTCATAGAATGATTATATAGGGTATTGGTGTTGGTCCTTAAGGTCTCTGAATAAGGTGTGTAACATTGGTTAGGCTTAAAATGGCATATTTGCTGTTCTATGAGCTCTAATGTATAACTTCAGTGCAGCACGTAGTTGAAAAACACCGGGCATCAAACCGAACAGTCAGCTCCAGAGCTGGTCTGGGACGGGGGCAGGGAGCCAGCTGGGGACGGAGCGACCAAACCCGACCCCGTTACGGTAGCCTGGACACTGGCGGCCCCGGAGCTGACGGCAGGCAAGGGAGAAGCATACCGTCACTGGGTCTGGTTCGGTCGCTCCGTCCCCAGCTGGCTCCCTATCCCCGTCCGAAATTGTGAAAAAAAAATTTCACAAACAGAATCTGTGTAGTTTGTGTTTAGTCCCTATGACTCAATACTTTAAAGAACCAGTATTTGCTACAGAGACAGTGACCTCCTATAGGTTTTCTTCCAGGATCACCCTGCATTTGCCTCCAGCCATCTCCCATCAGCTTTGTCCAGGTTTCCTATCACTTGATGTTGTGTCTACCTTCCAGTACAGTTAGTGTACTGCTACATATATTTCTTTTTGTGCATTTCTGTAGTTATATTTCATCTATTTTTCTTTGGTGCCATTTGACTTATTTACCACTTCAGAGTAAAACCTTGAACTTAGCAGGAGAAACTTTGTAAGAAGTGATTCTACCCCTAAAATAATAAATCAGATTTTAATAACTTTTTTCTCACTGATTTATAGACAGATGGGCATACAGAGTAAGACACCTGAATATTTTTAAGTAATGATTAAAGCATATGAGTATTAATATTTCCTTCCTTTTTATTAGGAAGGAAATAAGGAAAATGGAGAAAAAGAGTGAAAGGGAGAAAAGAAGGGAAGGAAGGAAATGAAAATGATGAGAAGGAAGGAAAAGCAAAACAAGAGAAGAAAGATAAATGTTGACTGCTTTATTTTTGGCATTGTTATTTGTATATTTTTTGTTTGTTTCCTTTTACATACAGTTGTCTTACTTTTTTTTTTTTTACTTATATTCTATATATCAGCACATTTGGGGGAAGGGGTAAAATGTAAAATACATATGAAAATCTGTAAAAATGTGTTTGTTGCCTTTTCCAAACAAAAATGTAAAATTAAAAGATATATATATATATTTTTATGATACTGATTATGTTTGTTAATGGTTAGCAGTAAAAATAAGAGAGCTGAAACTAAAGAAACTTGTATATTTGTGGCTAATGTTTAACCTGTACTTAAGCAAACAGCTAGTTTCAAAGGACTGTCATTATATATAGCTTTTTGCACTAGTTTTCTGAACTCAGCACCTTATAAATCATGGTTGCTGTGTCCTTTAATACTTCGTATTAAAATGCACGCAGAAAATCATCTGGATTTTAATTGGAGTTTAAAATTGGCCACATTTTGGGAATGAATGCCTATTAGCTGATTCTTCCCCCATGAGCTGTGGATTTCTACAGAGTTACTAGACCTGTTTGCTGTTTCTCTGAATAATGATCTACTTGTCTAGCCAGTGGGTTTATTTCATATGTCTAGTCATTGGGAGTGTTTCAATGGTGTTTCATGTGATGGTCAAAGTTTAAGGTATTTTGATAATCAAATTCAGCTAAAAGCTTCGCAAAACATGATCTTTGTTCTGTCGGTCTCTCATGAAGCTTTGTTCACTAATCTTGAAAAATAATCTTAAGGTCGATATTAAAAATTTTTATTGAGATGACCCACAGGTGGACTCTGATCAGAAATCAAGGCAACTGGATGAGCTGGATTTCACTGAGAAGTTTCAAAGTTACTAATGCTGATGCAATAACAGAAGCCATCCATCTATTCCTGCCAGTGGGGCCTGTCTCCGGCAGTCTGTGGCAAAAGGTGAGGTACACCATGGAAAGGTTGCCAGTCCATCGCAGGACAACAACCACACACACACAAAAGGACGATAGAGGGAAGTCAATTAACCTAACAATCAGATTTTTGGACCTTCTTGCTGCAAGGCAACAGTGCTACAAACTGCACAGCCCAAATTGTAAGCTCTATTCTTAAAACTACATATGCTTTTACTAACACTTTAATATATTTATGTTTTTTGTTCGTTTGTTGTTTTGTTTATCACATAAAATCCTCCTGAGATACTTTGAAGAAGTTAGATGACAAAATGTATTTAAGGGTCATCAAACCTTTCGGCAAAGCACTGCTGTGGTTTTCATAGTTATTCGCTGTCTCCTTTGTGCCCAGAGTTTTAGTTGTAAAAAGTAGAGTTTTTAAATTTTAACTTGAACCTTATTCAGATTAGGAAGCAGTACTGAATAAGATCTAAATAAATGTATGTAAATCTGCATAACACTTGAAAGCCAGAGCTGGACTTAAGCTTCATAAATGTTTTTTTTATTTTTTTTTACATATTGTGAGACATGCAGCATATCGATTATAAATACCTTGTTTATGAGAAACAGCAGGGACTGAGTGAGGCCACAGTGCTTCTCTGCAAGGAAGCGATATCTCCGTTCCTCCTCCTTCAGGATCTCCTGGTGGCTCTGCTTCAGGTAAACCATATATTCACTGTTCTCCTGAAAACATGAATCGCAGGGAAATACTTTAAAAAAAAGTAAAGAGGTTTTACTTCTTCTTTGTGTGTATATGTGTATTTTAGCTCTACCAGAGAGTCTCTGAACGTTCCTCTTCTAAGTTGCTTTTCCAAGACTTCTGCCTGGTTCCTCACCTCCATCTCGTATACTCTGCGACTGCCCTGCAGCATTTAACAGTTAGAATCAAGAACAACAAAATATCCTGCATCTTTCTGCTGGGAGTCAATCCAGTAATATTTATGTTCATGTTTACTTTAGTTAACTAGCTCTGCTTATTCCTCTTGGCTGACATTAAAGGGCTGCATGGTGTAGGTTCTCCTACTTTAATCAAAATCTTTGCAGTCTTTCAAGACATGGAAACCAAAAGCTTTCCTATTTCAAAGGCTGACAGAATGCAGTGAAAGTTAGAGCAGCAGCTTGGGACTGTCTTGCTTTCTTTTACACATATGTGATGTTCAAATGTTTTACCTTGGGGCCAAAAATGTCGCATTGATAGTACTTGGAGGGAACATTTTCCTAGCGCTTGTTTTATTTAAAACTTCATATTTCTTTTATTTTTAGACGTCAACAGTTAACTTAAAACTAAACTTCTTTCTGAAAAATTATATAAAATAGTGGGATTTCTGTAGGATATGGATCTAAAAATGGATGCAGGTTTTAAACCAGAAAATGGTCTTAGTGGTTTTTAGAAAAATAGATATAAACAGAGACTGAAACAAGAGACTGTCTTGAATTTCAATTATCTTTGTATAGATTTAATTTGTATATTTTTTGCAAGACGATATTTGTTTCATATACCTTTTTGAAAGACCTCCCAAGTTGCACCTTACAGTTTTCTTTTCTTTATTATCACAGGGCCAAGGTTGTACACATATGATTTGTGCTCCTTGTTACTTAAAATAACTTAACATCTGCTATATGTTTCTATGTATCTCTTGAGCAATATTAAAATAAGTTTTTTCATTACAAACATTTAGATATATTCTGCCTAAGCTTGTAATGAATGCTTAAACATTTAGAACACCTTATTCAGAGGTTGTAATTCTCGTCAATTTAGCAAAAATGTATAATTCTGGACATTTTAAGCATTGGGGGTTCCCATTTTAATGAAGCAGGAAGTGATTTTTGACGAACCTCATTAACAATACATCTGCCAGGTTAAGAAGCCTAATGAGTATTAGAATCAACAGTTTAAGCTTACTTCCATGTACTCCTCATCTAGTTTGACATTCTTCTCCATCGCTTGCAGCACCTCAATCTGGAACCACTGAAACTGATGCAGGAAGAGAGTCAGTACTGCAGCTAGAAAGAAAGCATTACAAATATGTCATATTTGTTTACGCTATGTGTAACCTGGTTGTTGTTATAATTACACAAAATGTCTTCATTTTTTGTTTGTTTGTATTGTTCTCCACCTGACCGAAAAGCTGTCATTGTTTTGAACGTGTTAGTTTAAGAACGGTAGCCCCTCCCTTTTTTTATTTCTTCTTTTATGGTTTTGTCTTTAAAATGTTTGCGTCCCTTAGGCCCTCCCCTTTTGTCATGTTGTCCTGCGGGAGAGGTGTGTCCTATTTATTTCCTATCTAAATACTTCCAGTTTATTTATAGATTTATTAAGTTAATTTCTGTTATGTATTTTTGTTTGTGTAGGACTTGGAGCGGGCAGCTTGTAAAACGATTGCTTTTCTCTTTAATGTTTTCGTCAGGTATGTTGTGTAAAGAAGGTTTATTTTGTTTAATGTTGTGAGACATGATCCGCCCTTTTGTCATGTTGTCCTGCGGGAGAGGACTTGGAGCGGGCAGCTTGTAAAACGATTGCTTTTCTCTTTAATGTTTTCGTCAGAATAAATCGAAGAAAGCCAAACCGAGTCACGGCCTGACTAATTACCAATAACCAGCACAACGCAGAAGGGAACCGGTTACACTTGGTGCCGTCTGACCCGCTGCAACGTCGAATCTCCACTGCTGAAGCTGCTGCTACGTTGTGCCTTTCCCGCCTTTGACGTCTTGCTCCGCCTTTGCCCTGCGCTTTGACTGGCAGGCGCTGGCGCGCTGTATCCTAGCAACGAAGTAACTGTTTCTGTTGGTCTTCTTTTTTTGTGCACCTCGTTTTATACAAGGGAAGAGGGGAAATAAGTGAAGAATAATTAGAAACGTTTTTTTTATTTTGTAAAAGTTAATAAAAACAATCCTAAAACAGTACATGATCAACAAATAATAATAATATTAATTATAAAAAAAAAAAAGTAAAGACATGAAACCAGTCTGATTATTACCCTTTACCTGTAGATAAGGCTGGTTGTTTTTTTCTTTTTTTTGTTTCTTTTGCTGACTGTTGCATCTGAGTTCTTGTGTGACTGATTTGTTTTTACACTGTTGGGTATCTGCACTTTATTTTTGACATCACTTCTTTTTGATCCACTGTTATTTTCCATAGCTTTTGTCTGTTATTGTTTGATGAAATGTCTGACACTGAGGTACCTTTTAAAGGTGATGAAGTGGACCGGAAGGTCACTTTTAGTTTGGGGAGGGGCCAACATTACATGTCATTTGGAAGGGGTAGACCTATGCCTTTTAGTCCATATGAATTTTCTGTTGATCAGCTTGGGATGAACCCCCCACCTGTCCCTGCTGCTGCTTCTACACCCATTGACAAAGCAAGGTCTGACCCTACCCAACTTGTTTCTACTGAGGCTCTCAGTGGGGTGATTGCTGATCTGGCTAAGCAGATTGGGGACGCCATTACGACGAATCTCAATGGACTAAACCCACAAAGTCAGTCACAGTCTCAGATTGCTGACAGCCAACCCAGCGACCTGACCGATCAGTCACAAATGAGGTTTGTTGTTCAGTCTGATATTAGAGCACCTCCATATTTTAAAGGTGACCACACTGACACCTTCTCCATCCAGGAATGGGAGGGTTTGATGAGATGCTATCTGTCAAGGATGAGATGTGTGGACCCTGTAGAAATGTGTGAGATCATCACATCCAGACTTATTAGGAAAGCCAGAGATGTGGTTCAGGTGTCGCTTCGTTGCCAGCCCCAGTCATGTAGTGACAAGTTGGTTTCTACTGTTTTCGATATTTTGAAACGCAACTTTGGTGAGCTGATCTTCTCCAGTTTGCCAATGAGAGACTTCTATAACATCCTGCCAGCTGATGGAGAGACAGCCATGGACTACTGGATTCGACTGAACAAGTCTATTGAAGCGGCTGATGAGTGTTTGCGTAGGAGGGGGAAGCAGGTGGAGGATCCAGGAGCTGAAGTTGTTACAATGTTCATCAACCATTGTCCTGATCCTGGTCTAGCTCTTTCCTTCCAGCTGAAACCTGTGGAGGAGTGGACTACTGCTGAGGTCCAGAGCCGCCTTGATAACCGTGTTGCAAGTCTTAGGAAGCCGATGGTCACTACAAAGAGGACTCTTGGTTCGTCTGCGGGCCCTGTTCTCTCCTGTCATCCTCAGCTTGGTGCTCAAACGCCTAGTGCTGCGTTGTCAGCTGATGCTACACCATTTGCTGTCCGTTTTCCCCAAGCTTCTTTGGCATGTGATCATTCCTCAGCTTCAGGGCCCTTGAATCAGCAGCCACAGCAGCATGTTGCTCCACATTCTACATCCTTTCAGAATACAGGTCCACCCCAGCCACCTTTTTCCTCCAGTTCAGGAGTTGAACCGCCTCCTCAGATGACAGAGATGTTCGATAAAGTTCTGTCTCTGTGTGCAGCTTCTCTTGCTACAAAACAAAGTGGTCAACATGTGAGGAGTTACACACGTGGTTCTAAACGTCCTCAGCATGCACCATGCAGGGTTTGTTGCTCAGAGGAGCATACCACACACTCACACTGCAGATTGTTCAGACTGTGTCTCAACTGCTTCGGCTCAGGGCACATTAAAAGGGATTGTCCTCAGCCTGCTCATCACACACCGCAGCTGTCCTCCCAGTATCCTAATTTAAACTAGAGAGCCCGTGTGATGAGAGGGGAAGCATGGGCAGAGTGGATAATACCCTCACGACTACATTGGATGCACACTCTGTTTATACTGAGTGTTGCAATACTTCACCTGAGAACAGAGAAGTGATTTTCTTGGGGTCACAGAGAGTTCAGAGGGCTAGTGATTTGTTTTATGCCTCAGTTTCAGTTAGTGACCGAACTACACTGAGGGGTATGTTGGACTCTGGGAGTATGTCGTGCACATTGAGCGTGGAGGCAGAGAGCAAACTAAGAGCGGCGGGTGTTGATTTGATCCCTCTTGCGGTTCCAGAGAATGTGGTGCTCGTTGGGTGTGGTGGCCTTCTCACGCAGCCTCGATACATCTATGAGTTGAACATTGAGATCTATGGCTTCAGATTTACAGTACCGACATTTTTGATACCTGGCCAACATGATGAATTCATCATTGGTAGCAATGTGCTCCGGCCCCTTATTCAAAGAATGAAAACTGATTCGAGGTACTGGGAACTCATTACATCTAACACTGCAAACCCAGAGTGTGAGGAGTTTTTGCAGCTTCTGAGTTGTGTTTCTCGGTGGTCAAACTCTACTTCACCTGACAAGATTGGAACAGTTAGGCTCAGACAGGCTGTTACCCTCCTTCCTCGTCAGGAGTATGTGGTTTGGGGTAAGCTCCCATCCACTGCACCACTGTCATTGGGAGGCACTGTGGTTGTCGAGCCGTCATCCGCTCGTTCCACTCCAAAAAACATTTTGGTGGGTCGTGTAGTCACACCCATGTGGGGGGATCGTTGGGTCCCTATGAAGGTCCTCAATCCCACAGAAAAACCTCTGATACTGCGCCGCAATGCTAAAATCGCTGATGTCTTTCCATGTGTTGCTGTGGAGGACTTTGCTTTTAGTCAGGGGAGATCGGAACTGTACTGCAACCATTCAGCTGTTTCAACAGGTTCATCTCATCACAGTGCTGATCCAGTGCAGATGTTGAGAGACTGTGGTCTTCATGACATTGACATAGAGAGCTGTGAGGTGTCAGATGAGTCTAAAAGAAGGCTGGCTGAACTCGTGATTTCTTACCAGGATGTGTTCTCCAGGGGAAAACTGGATTGTGGTGAGGCTAGGGATTTTGTTCATCGCATTCACTTGGCTGATGACCAGCCATTTCGCTTGCCTTATCGACGCATACCACCAGCACATTATCAGCAGTTGAGGGAGGTCTTGTCTGAGATGGAGATGAAGGGTATCATAAGGAAGTCTATTAGTGAATATGCCTCCCCGCTTGTTATGGTGTGGAAAAAGTCTGGGGACATGAGGATATGTACTGACTTCCGCTGGCTTAATGCTAAGACCGTTAAGGATGCCCATCCATTGCCCCATCAGTCTGACTGCCTTGCTGCTCTTGGTGGGAATGCGCTGTTCAGCACCATGGACTTGACCTCTGGTTTCTACAACATCCCTCTCCATGAGTCCGACAAACATTACACTGCTTTTACCACGCCGCTTGGACTTTATGAGTACAACCGTCTCCCACAAGGTTTATGCAACAGCCCATATTCCTTCATGAGGATGATGCTTAATGTTTTTGGTGACTTGAACTTTTCCAGCCTCCTCTGCTATCTAGACGACCTGTTGGTATTTGCACCGTCTGAGGAGGAGTCGTTAAAGAGGCTGGAGGTTGTTTTCTGTCGCCTGAGAGCAAACAACTTGAAGCTGGCCCAGAAAAAGTGTCACTTTCTCAGGAGGTCTGTGAGGTTCTTGGGCCATGTTGTGGAAGCTGGTGGTGTTTCTGTTGATCAGGAGAAGGTAAGGGTCATCTCAGGGTTTGAAAGAAAAGACCGCATGAAGGAGGATGGCTGTACTCCGTGCCAGAAGAAGGTGAGGTCATTCTTGGGCATGGTGCTATTCTATCAGCACTTTATTCCAGCTTGTTCTCGCATCGCAAAGCCTCTTTATGCCCTCACTGCAGGTCAGAAACGTAAAGTAAAGAGCAAAGGACACGGGAAAGCTGGAACCTTTCGTGTTCTGACTCCCCAGGACTGGACTCCAGCTTGTGAGAAAGCTTTTGGAGACCTTAAAACTGCACTTCTCAACTGTGTGGTACTGGCACATCCTGATTTTGAGAAGCCATTTATTCTCTCAACCGATGCTTCGTTGGATGGGCTCGGTGCTGTTTTGTCGCAGGTCCCAGCTGATGGAGAGATTGCTAGACCTGTTGCTTTTGCCAGCAAGACTCTCAGCCGCAGCCAGGCCAACTATCCTGCACACAGGCTCGAGTTCCTAGCCTTAAAGTGGGCTGTATGTGATAAGTTCAGCCATTGGCTGAAGGGTCACAGGTTTACTGTGTGGACGGATAATAACCCTCTCACATATATCCTGACCAAGCCCAAACTGGATGCTTGTGAACAGCGCTGGGTCTCTAAGCTTGCTCCATACACCTTTGAAATCAGGTATGTTCCAGGGAGACAGAATGTGGTGGCAGATGCTCTGAGCAGAGCTCCTTTTGTGAAGCCTTTGGCTGATCGCCTTCTGTCAGAACCTTGTCAGGAACTTTTGGAGCATGTCTGTGAGGTCCCTGATCATGCTGTGCAGGATGTTTTCCGTTTGACCTGTCAGCTTCAATCAGTGGACAGCTCTTCCTCCTTCACAGCTGACATGTCCATGACCTGTGACGAAGTCTCCTCTCTTTTGTCATCTGCCTGCAGTGAAGATGCTGGTCAGACTCAGCATGCAGCATCTTCAGCTGATCATCTGAGCATGATAATCCAACACACCACAGGTCCATCAACAGCTCTTTGTCTAACTGACCTGGTCTCTCACCAGAAAAACGATCCTGTTATTTCCAGAGTTGTCCTGTACGTTGAGCGGGGACGCCGTCCATCAAGGCGGGAACGCTCTGGTGAAAATCAACTGGCTCTAAAAATTCTGAAGCAGTGGGATAAACTAACATTGCTGAATGGCATTCTTTACCGTGTCATAAAAGACCCTCTGACAAAAGGTAAACGCTTCCAGTTTGTGGTCCCTGATGCTTTGAAGTCTGTGGTTCTGACTGGTGTTCATGATAGTGCAGGTCATCAGGGCCAGCCACGAACATTCTCCTTGGCTCGTCATCGTTTCTTTTGGCATGACATGGAAAGAGATGTGCGAGATTATGTGAGAAAATGTCCCAGATGTGTCCTCAGTAAAACCCCAGAGCCTGCTGTGAGAGCCCCTCTGGAGAACATCAGGACCAGTGCTCCGATGGAGCTGGTGTGTATTGATTTCTGGTCAGCTGAGGACAGTAACAACAAGTCTGTGGATGTTCTGGTGATCACTGATCACTTCACAAAGTTAGCACATGCTTTCCCGTGTCAGGATCAAACTGCTAAACGAGTTGCAAAAAAGTTATGGGATGGGTTTTTCTGTGTTTATGGCTTCCCCCAGCGCATTCACTCAGATCAGGGTGCAAATTTTGAGAGTGAGCTGCTGGCTGAGCTTTTAGAGTTGAGTGGTGTCAGTAAATCACACACCTCACCCTACCACCCAATGGGTAATGGGACTGCAGAGAGATTCAATCGCACTCTGGGCAACATGTTGAGATCTCTGCCTCCGCGTTTGAAGCATAAATGGCCTCAGATGGTCCAGTCTCTGACTTTCGCCTACAACTGCACGGTTCATGAGACCACAGGCTTTGCACCGTTCTATCTGATGTTTGGGAGGATTCCCAGGCTGCCTGTTGACCTTGTTTTTCGGAACGTTCTTCATGATGATGCTATTTGTGACTACCACACTTACGTCAAATCACTGGTTGAAGATTTACGTTCTGCCATGCTAATGGCTGAGAAGAACACCAGTGCAGAGCAGAAACATCAATGTGACCAGTACAACAAGAGAGTCAAGGGTCACCCTCTGTCAGTTGGAGATCAGGTCCTGGTGGCAAACAAGGGAGCCAGAGGAAAGCGAAAGCTTTCTGATAAATGGGAGCCTGTGATGTACACGGTGGTTGCCTCCAAACCTGCTCTCCATATTTATCGTGTTAGAGATCGTTATGGCAACGAGCGTGTGGTGCATCGCAACCTCCTTCTTGACGTGAACTTTTTACCTGTGGGATTGACCTTGGATGGGAATGTGAACCGCCAGGTTGATAGTGTGGTTCGAGTCCCCCCGGTTCCTGATTCACATGGAACAGGAAGTTTTAGTGAGGCTCCTAGTGCTGTTCCTGCTGAGCCTTCCCTACCTGACTCCCTGTCCTGCAGTGATGGGGATGACAGTACTGCCTCATGGGTTCAGGACGTGTCCTTGGCTCCATCGGTTGGGAACAGTGAGCTGTCTCATGACCCTGAAAACTCCTCTATGGAAACAGGAGTACTGGCGACTGCTGGTTCCTTACCTCATCTTCCTGATGCTGCTGGCTCTGTTCATCCTCCAGACAGGGTGGGTGAGGATGTTGTTCGCCGCCTAACCTCACGCTTTGGGAGGGTTATTAAACCAGTTTGTCGCCTGATAGAGTCCATGGCCGTCATTGAGGCGCTTTATGATAAGGATAATGTTCGAACTGTTATTGACGTGTGAGTTTCCAAATTCTCATATGATTCCTGCCATTGGCTAGGATTGTCTTTATCTTGGTTTGCATAAGCTTCAGTACCATTTATGTGTTTACTCTGTATGGGGGGGGGGTGTAAAAGGCACCTCTTGTTGTCCATGGAATACTGTGAGATTTTGCTGGGCGTCGAGCAACCTCTAGTCTCCTGACCTTGTTGTAGGGTAGTTGTTTGGCTGATGTGTTACATTGTTGCAAAAAAAAAAAAAAAAAAAAAAAAAATGAAAAATGATGGAAAAAAATTGTACTGCTACTAAGTGTCTTTATCACTGTTTTTTTATTTTGTGTAATTCTAGGGGGGTGAATGTAACCTGGTTGTTGTTATAATTACACAAAATGTCTTCTTTTTTTGTTTGTTTGTATTGTTCTCCACCTGACCGAAAAGCTGTCATTGTTTTGAACGTGTTAGTTTAAGAACGGTAGCCCCTCCCTTTTTTTATTTCTTCTTTTATGGTTTTGTCTTTAAAATGTTTGCGTCCCTTA